TTAATGAGAGATGAAAGTGTTTTGTTGGTTGAACCAAAGAGCAATTAGTTCACTTGCTAAATAGACCAATTAAAAATTTTTAAACGTACACAGAAGTGAAAAGTAATTGGTAGAAGTTGGCGTAGGAGACAGTGGGAAGTGACGAGCGTACCGGTGGCAAGGAAAACAATGTTTTATTAATAACATTGTTAGTCCATTTTAGTTTATTGAATAAACAAATTTAAAATATGTTTTCAGGAAAAGGGCTACCGACAATCAGAGGCTGACTAAGGAAACACAAACCCGACAAAGTTGGGTGGCGGTTTCATTTTTGCTTTTGAAAAACGTTTAAAAATCCAATTGGCCTCGTGAATGACCAAAGGTGGACTGCAAAATGCTTTTACTGTCTTTTACTCAGTTGATTGTCTGAATTTGTAATCATGGGAAAGATCGGAAAAGATACCAGTAAAGCCTGAGCCCGATGTGAATTTACGCACGAAAGCGTTGAAAATTTCAATTACAGAGTAGACAATTGAGTTTTCTTGTTTGTCTGAACGATTCGACAAATGAAATAGATGCAATGGTGATCAAAGTTGTATGATGTAAACTGTCTGCGAAGAAGATGACAACAGAGAAAGAGTGAGCAAAAGCTTTCACAGATTTTGTGAGCGCCTCAATACAATGATGGATTTTCATATACCTTTGCACCCTGCATCCACCCATGAATGATGAAATTCACAAATTACAAACCAGGTTACTATAACAAATTCCATAGGAGTATACAATACTTAATTCCTGAAATAAGCAATTACACAATCACATAATGATTTTTCAACTAATGCAAACGTAGTGTCAGACAACTAGATGATTCGGCAAAACTGATATAAGTCCTTCGAGGTCACTTATGTAACTCTCAAAGATTTATGATAAAATCCGGATGAAAACATCAGACTTGTTTACTGCTAGACACTATGACAGTTGCCAGTTGACCAACTCCTAATCCAAATACTAGGTGAAAAATAATGGATTCATTAGAATATGTAGCTTCAACTGAATGTTTAAAAAGACACTAAAGTATACGTTTTGCCATCATTGACTCAGTTGATGGTTTTAACTCGTAATCCTGGGGACGATCGGAACAGAAACCAATAAAATCTGAGCCCGGTGTGAATCTAAGCAAGAAAGCACTGCAAAGACCAATCAACGGTGAACAGAGAAAGATGACGAAAACAACAGAGAAAATGTGTATTGTGTATAACATTTGCAAGCACTGGAGCTCACATTTCAGTTAAAAATCATACAGACCAACTGTCAAAAAGTACATTATCAACGGAAGGAAACATTTTATAGACATGGGAATTTATTAAAAATCCAAAGTTAAGAAAAAACACCTTTATTATCCTCTCTTTGTTTGTGGGTAAACGATGAAGATACGGTATAGGTAAATGGTGATGAGCATTCATTTGAGATGAAATTTGGCAGAATTGGGAGCGTGTTGAATGATGGACACGACCGCATATCAGTTCTACGTGCCATGGGTGGTCAGGATATGTGAGAATCCTCTCGGAAAAATTCACACGGGAAGTTAAATGATACTCTGAAAGTTTTAAAGCTAACTCATTACCAGAAATGGAAGAGAGAAGATTGTTATCGGTTAGATCGCGACATAATACTTTGAAATCCTATTTCAATAAGCCAGGAAAAATAACTGGGGAACCGTACAGTACTATAGAGCAAACACTGATAAACGAAGGTAGAAAAAAAGAAGGTAGATGTGTCTGCATCTCGTTTGATCACAATATACACACAACAAGATATCACACGATGACACACGAGGAACACACGTACCTCAACGACCACACTAATCGTCTAGCCTCACGCGTACGATCACAGTACAGATTGGAAGCCACGAGCACTAGTAACCTTCTCCCAGCTACGTAAGCAAGAACACAGCTAGTGCACAGCAAACGTGTACTCGACACACAGGAAGCAAGTCAATTTACAAGTTTTACTCTGATGCTTATATGTGACTCAAAATAGCATCGATCAATGCAAGAAAAAGATTATGCCAATCAAGTACACAGTTATCAAAGTTCAATCGATTATAAGTCACGGATCGACGGACGGAGTGAATGTCTCCGTATGACGCGATATGATTGATTATTCTCCGCGAGATTGGTATTGATGAGAGATGCTCCGAATTGCAGATACTCGAAAAATAGTCAGTTTTAGGTAAAAATATTCTTTTTACCTAACATCTCCCCCAACAANCCTTCGGGTCCGTATGGAAGGGTTATACAGGGCGTCCAACTCTGCCGGTGCGGCGTCTTGCTCTCAGGTTGGGTTCCATTGGTTTGGCTAGCTTGGGTACTGGAAGAGTGAACGTGTCGGTCAGTACGTCCAGTGGAATTGAGATCGAGGTTGGGGTGCGCTTGAGACTTTGTTCATGTCTGTGCCGGAGTTGATTTTGATGTCGGACCCACGTCTCGCTTCCGACATTCACGTCGTACAGCCTGTTACCGCAATGCTTCAGTATTGTGGCTTGCGCCCACTGGGGGTGA